AGAGATATGAACGCCGAGCTTTTGTTTTCTCCGCTTCAGGCGGGTTCCTTGAAGCGGGGTGATGGTTCCCCTTGAGACCGCGACCCCGCAAAGAAAAGCCTCAAGGCAAGGAAGGGGTCTGAAGGTGTTGATTTCAGCCCACGGAGCTTCAGCTGATACCTGGGGACTTTGTCAGAGAGGTGTTCAATTTTCCAGTGACGCAAGGCGTCTACTTGGTTCAGTGACCTTTGAACTTCGCCACAGGTTGCCGCCACCTCACGGCCTTAAACTAAATGGGCGCACCTCCAGACAGGGGTTTGTTTTCTCCCCATGCATGGATGACTTCATGTTCATTTGTTTCTTGGTGTGTCTTCATTCGCTTAAAGGACCCTGGTAAAGATGTTTTCTGCTTGGAATCTACGTGTTTTGCGCTCTCCCTTTTCCGGGTGGCTGACCTCTCTCGCTTGGGTCTCCCGGGCGGTTCCCGTCAGGCCGGACTTGGCCCTGCTGGAGGCGCCGCTGCTTCTTCGGGGCCCTGCCAGGCCATCGGATTCGGCCAGGTGACGATTTCCCCCGCCTCGGCGGGCGGTTGGCCACCTGTGGTGCCAGTTTTTTTGTTTGTTGGGGACAGAAAGCAAGGGGGTCGAAGCTGATTTGTGCTTTGTGAATGTCTTCAACTGGGATAAAACCCGAGAGGGGAGGAACCTTTGCGGACAGGCTTGTGAAGATCCATTCATGCTACTTTGTAAACGCTTATATATGCAAGAAGAAAGGGGCAAGAAAGCTTTGAAGGGCCCAGGGTGTTTCAACATAGTGGTACCCTAAGATGGCGAACGCCCAGATCCGGAGTCCCAGCATCAGCGCCTGACATGCGGGGAGCTCAGACCATTCGATGGCTGCCAAAAGTTGGACTGATGATGATGATGCTGATGATGCTGATGATGCTGATGGTGATGGTGATGATGATGCTGATGGTGATGGTGATGGTGATGGTTATGATGTTGATGATGATGGTGATGATGGTGATGATGGTGATGATGGTGATGGTGATGGTGATAATGATAATGATGATGATGATGATGATGGTGATGGTGATGGTGATGGTGATGGTGATGGTGATGATGATGATGATCATGATGATGATGATGATGATGATGATGATGATGATGATGATGATGATGATGATGATGCTGATGCTGATGATGGTGATGGTGATGATGCTGATGGTGAAGGCCCCTACGCTCCCGCGTCGACCGGATTCGGGGCTCCCGAATCGACGGCTCGGGGATCTACGCCCAGGTCACGGGGATGATGATGATGCTGATGGTGATGATGATGATGATGATGCCGGGTAGTATGTCGAAACTGGGAGCCCTGTTGAGTTCAGTTGCTCTTGCGGCACATCCCTACTTGGCCAGGGCTGTTATGTGGCCTGTCTTCCTTTTCTCGCACAAGAACTGCCCAAAAGCGTCCTCTCAGTTTTGACTCATCCCCAAATCCCACCAAAGCAGCCAGAGCCAGTGGAACTCCCAACTTCGGTTTGCTCCGGTGCCAAATCTAATGTGGTGGGAGAATCTGCACAGGTCATTTGCAGGCCCTTGAAAGCGGTTTGCTAGCTAAACGCCGGCATGGCTGGAGATCGTTTGGGTTTGGACCAGCCGAACCGGAGGTTGTCCTGTTGGATGGGCGTTTGTTTTGCAAAAGACCGGTGGCCCACCAGTGGCTCAAACTCGTAGACCGTCCTTTGGGTATGTTTACATGGAAACCAGCGGGACCCCCTTTTGGTTTTAGAGAAAACCCAACAGGAAGCCAAACATAGTTGGTAAAACCAACAGGACACCAACGCCACTTTGGTGAACCCAACAAACCAGCGATTTTGCTGAAACCAAAAGGCAACCAGCCATTTTTCTATCGGCTGATTCCCCATTCTGTTCAACCATCGTTCTTTTCAAGAACCGGTTTTTGGACGGTTTCCTGAAAAGACGGGACCCGGGGTTCAGAATGGAAATGGAAGGTACCCCTAGAATTTTGCAATTTTGCTGAAACCAAAAGGACACCAGCGAGTTTGCTGAAACCAAAAGGACACCAGCCATTTTGCTGAGCCATTTGGTTGCGGGTCGAAATAGGTTCCCAGAATGGAACCTAGTGGAAACATGGACTAAAACCAGTGGTTTTTTGGTGAATTAGTTTTGACCCATACCCATTTGAAGCGCATCCAGCCCAGGTCGGGGCTTGCTGCGCCGCCACTTCTTCGGAGTCTTGGACACCTCGGGGCTGCGCTCTCGGCTGGGCGCTCGGCAAGCGAAGCATCGAGCGGAAGGCGCTCAAAGGACGACGTGGGTGGCGCGTCTTCCTTTTTTCGAGGTACCTAGATCCCCAGCAAGGCCTTTCTTTTTCAGCGACTTTGACCAAATTATGGGCTACTAGTGGGTAAAGTGGCTGTAAAGTGGCTACTTGGGGTTCAGGGGGTACTCTCCCCACCGACTAACATGGAACCTGACAGAGGGTCCCTTGAAAAGGAAAATGGTCCAAATCAGGACCCCTCTGTCAGATCCCATGTTAATTGGTGGGAGGCACCTATGGACAACCAGCACTTTGGGGGGTCCTCCTAGAAAAGACGCCCATGTGTTGACTCCAACGCGATCCTAAAAGGTGGACCAACACCCTCAATCTTGCCCCTTCAAAAGGTGGTTGATTCCCTCGCGTCCAACAAGCTTGGAAGAGGACGATCGGAGGGGTTTGAAGGAGAAGGTTCTTCTTGTAGGAGGAAAATTGCGTTCCAGGCCCCCCCCCTCCCTTTCGTCAGGAGGGCAGACCTCCCCTGCGAATGGCCCGACCTCAAAGGGCAGTTTCTTGGGTTCGGGGAGCATTTTGGGGAGTCACAAGGGTGCCCCAGCTCCGATGCCAGAAATGCCGTCGGAGCCCTCCCTTGGGCCGAAGGATTCGAAAGAAACACCCAGCTTCCCGCCCACCCTAACCCCCCGGCTCTTCTTCCGCTTCTTGTTCCCCTCCCCATGTTGGGAAACAGAACGGAGGCTTAGGTTGCTCGAATCCTATGGGGTGACCCATGGAAAGACTGGGGATTCGAACAGTTTGAGGCGGCAAAATGGATCCATCAAAGGGACAGGGTTTCCTCCGGCAAACGTTTTAGTGGACACCACCCGTAACTTGAGAGCAGCTTTTGGTTAGGGGGAATCCAGTGACCTGGAGGGACGGCTGTATCTGGTGAATCCCTGGAGTGAAGGCTGTGAAACAAGCGCTGCAACAAATTTGGAGCGTCTACTCCCCTCCTGTTCGCATTTTTTTTTTAAAACACAATATTTAGATTCGCGGTTGGAAGGCGGCACTTTTTGGAAAGGGTTCAGGAAGCAGCAGCAACATGGACACTCGCCATGGTTCGGACCGCTCAGTTGCGCACCGGTTTCTCCAACAACTTTACGGCCTGAGTGGTTCAGTTGTGTTCAGTCCCTATGTTGTGAGACACTGCATACATGCAAGCACCATCCTCAGGTAGTGCCCTTTTACCGTTTCTTTTTTGGGGGAGGGTTCCCCTAGTAAGATAGACTACAGAAAAAAGGGTACCCTTATTCTAACCTCTCTACTGGAGGACCTAGTCAGCATTCCCAGCATCATTTGGCAGAACAGTATGATACCTGAGGCGCTTGATCCGGCACGTGCAGATCTGTCGCCCGGCGGCCCGGATTTGATCGCGACTGCTGGGGCGAGCGCCCATCCAGTGCCCACCAAAGGGAGGGATGGGGGTCCGTTTGGTTCCCTTTTACAACAACAAGGGTAGCTACTGTCAAACAAGGACAACGGAATGAGCGTTGGTGCGTGTTGGTGGGATGGCTTAGGGTCTCACTCGCCAAGGTACGGGTGATCTGTGATGTCACGCGGAAACCTCTAGGCTCTCTGTGTGACAGAAAGGTCAACCTGCCTCTTTATTAGGGATGTGCAGCCTGATTGGTAAATCAAAAGCCAGAAGCATGGCTTCATGCAGTTCTTTCTGGCCGATGCAAGTGTCATACCCTTTCGCCACATATGAGGTTCTCTATACAGACATCCACCTTTGCGACAAGCATGATAGGGATTCTTTCTGTACAAAGCTGGCTGTTTCCAGCGGTTGTTACCGATGTTTCCTTCGCTTTCTTGAAGCCGGGCGATGTCCAAATCGCCCATTTGTGAGCTTCCCCAAAGCAAGCCAAAAGGGATGAGTGATTTGCCGCGGGCGGGTGTGTGACAATGAATGCTCCTGGTTTGGTTCGCATTTTCATCTACCTTCGGGTGATGTTCTTCTTCGTGTTTCGGACCTTGTGCTTGACACCCAGCACTCGGGTGCCAAGACCCTTTGAATCGGAGGTTGGGGGGTTCTTCGCGCTCGAGCTCCCCTAAGAAAAGCGCGGTTCGCCCAGCCACCAGGAAAGCAAAACTGAAAAAGGGGGCGTAACCTGAAAAGAGGATTTTGGGTGTCCCTCCTTTTTTCCTTTTTTTTTTTTTTTTTTTTTTTTCGTAACCTCAACAAGGGGCGTCACAGGCTGCCGCTCCACGTCGCCTCGCGCCTGGGCTCCGCGACGTCCGCAACGGGGCGCCTGCCTCAGGTCTGGTGTATGGTGGCGGGGTTTCCTAAGGTCCCCCGTGTACCAACTTCTGGGGAGATTCGTGTCATTTAATTTAAGAAAGACTACAGGAAAAAGTTGGTACCAACTTGTTCTAACCTCTCTGGAGGACCTAGCTAAATGTCCCTTGGCGGTCTTAATAACATCGCTTCTTTTGGGCGGATGCAAGGTGGGTTGCTCTTTTTTCGGGGGGTGATATTTTTGAAGGGGACACATTGGTATCCCTGCGTGGCGCCTGTTGCCACTCACAATGCCTAGCGGGAACTATTTGAGTCTTTGCCGATGCCGAGTTAAAAATACATAAAAATAAAACTTTTTGCAGAGGGGTCAACAGCAACCTCGTGTTGTATGTTTTTCTCATTGTAATGATTCGAATGTCTTTCTGCTTTCAATCAGCTTGCTGTAGGCAGATTTGGCTCCGATGGTTTCAACTTCCCAAAGCCATGGCCATTGCCATGTCGCTCATGTTGCTCCATCTGAGTATCTGCGTTCCAGCGGATGCATGGGCTCACGGCCATAGTGGTCATGCTGGCCATTCCTACGGCTCACGTGGCTCGCATGGATGGGGCAGTGGCTCTGGTGGTGATTCTTCGGGCTGCTGGTCATCATTGCCTGTGCCTGCCTCAAATGCGAGCTGACACGAGCCTACAGTGGGAACGAGACTCATGGATATTTGGTGGTCCCGGAGATTTTCTGCTGCGAGAGGGCCCCTGTGATGGTTCCATGCGCTGGCCCCAGCAAGTCGCACTACTACTGTGCGCGAGTTTGGCTGGCGGTGCTTCTGCATGGCACACACGCGGCGGCAACCTTCGTGCGCGTGGATGATCGGCAGTTTCCACCGAAAGCAGAGTTTCAGGTTGCTTTTGTGGCTCCTGAAGGTGAGCATGGCGCACCTTTCTTGCAGGTGGAGGGAGATGGGCAGATTTTGCTGCTTTCAGCGGCAGACATGTTTGATGGCCAGTTTTACCAGGTGGCTCCAGGCGACTTCATCGGCTTCGCCCCTACTACGCGGCAGGACGTCCTTGAACATATTCGCACCCGAGTCTCTTTCGTCCCTTCTGCCCCGGCGGTACAGCCAAACCAGACGGGCGGCTGCAGGATTGCCTAGGCATACCTTTACAAGTGTCGTGGTCAAAACATTGATTGTGAGTGACATGGATCACCATGCACATTTGATCCCGTCATATCCCATCAGGGCGATGGTGGTTTTGACCATGGTAGATAATGCACCAAAACGCAGGGCTCCTTGTAAAGAAGCGCCCAGAAAGGCTTGGCTTCTGCTCTCCACTCGCTTGTTTCCCAGTTGAGGGTACCGCGCGGTGCGTTTTGGCTCCGATGGGTTGGAGACCGAGAAATGGGAGCCAAAAAAGGGGGTACCATCAAAGAGAGACACACTCATGTGGCATGTTTGCGGCGCTGCTGGTTGTATCGCATCAACTTGCTCGCGCCAAACGAAGGGGTTCCACGAGTTTGTTTGGCCTCCCTACCCCCACCACATTCTGGAAATCTTTGGGAAACAGCTTTTGTTTAGATGGTGGCTTAGGTCATTTAGCTCATAGCTTATCACATTCTTCCAGATTGGCTGACAATTGGGGGTGTAGTCGAGCATCAGCTACTCGCTTCAGGATGGCAATCTTTGCACTAAAATGTGGGTTGACATATTCATATATTCATGGATCTAGCTGAGTTGTAATTACATCATTATATCATGAACGATATCACTGGAGATAATGCTTATGATTCTTTATTGGTGGGAACTTATCAACGCCCTCCTATTTCAGGATACCCTCTCAGCCTTTTGATATGATCAAGCGTAGCATTTGTTCTGATGAGTGCGACAACTGATATGTCTCCAGCTGGAGACCTGTTTGTCAGCTCTTGCGCATGCCATTCCATTCCAATGAGATGAATTTTTTCATTCGCCCTTGTTCCGTTTTCAGTTGACCTACTACTTTTCAGCTATGTCTGTCAATATTGGAGGACCAAGCCCTGAGTCCAGTTTTGTTGTTCTGGAGAGCTTTCAGCAGTCCATTGACATGCGAGAAACATCTCGTGGTCATCGTGGCTTTTTGGATAGGCATTGCACTTGCGGCCAAACACAAATCCTATCGTCAAGCATTAAAAGCAAGATCATGTTGAAAGCACGGGTTGTTTTGGTTTTCTGAAAAGGGGCGTTGAACCAAGTGCTCCAAGTCATGTTTTGTGGGGACGTTTCAAAGCAGTCCGTGCGGAAACCACCCATTTTGTTTTTATTCTTGGAGGGGCTTGTTACAATCCCAACTTTAAGCTCTCAAGTGCAGATTGCTCGAGCTGTTCCACGCATGGACGAGTTTCCGTGAATCTCAACTTGGCTGTTTGTGTGTTGTTTTGATGTTTGGTACAAATTTCAGGATGGCTTACACGGAAACTAAAAGCCAGACCGAAATCGTTTTTTGGGTCCCCCTGACTTTGACCATCTACCTGTTTCAAGGGGAACTGAAACGGAACCCACGCATTTGGCGTTTGTTTTCTTGGGGGCTGTCAGAAGTGAACCGAGCCATGTGCCGAAAAACCACCGCCCTTGCCCCCAGCCCAGCCTTCCCGCGCCCAGTTCGGCCCGGCTGGGCGCTTCGCCATCGGCGCCGGACTCCGCCTGCTCGGGCGCCGCGGTTTCGGCGCGGACGTCCGCGAGGCGCCGACGCCCAGCGTTTTGTGGGGGGAGGTTGGCGGCGTTGCCGGATGTGTCTTGGCTACCCAATTGGCAATCCGCAGTTCAAAGTTGGAGATCCCTAATCCGCAATCCGTAGTGGCACAGCACAACAGCCAAAGAAATGGACACCACTATTCTCCGGCAAGACGAATCAATGTTGGCCCAGACGAATGGACACCGCGAACAAGCCATTGTTCTCTCAAGGGCAACCCCTTGGCTACCTTGGCAAATGGGGGGTTCTCAAAGTGGTGGACCGCTTTTTGGTTGGTGAAAGGGAAACTAAGGGAAACCATCGATTCTGGGGGTGGCCGTATTTTGAGACAAACCCAAATGTGTGTGTGTGTGTGTGTGTGTGTGTGTGTGTGTGTGTGTGTGTGTGTGTGTGTGTGTCTGTGTGTCTGTGTGTCTGTGTGTCTGTGTGTCTGTGTGTCTGTGTGTCTGTGTGTCTGTGTGTCTGTGTGTCTGTGTGTCTGTGTGTCTGTGTGTCTGTGTGTCTGTGTGTCTGTGTGTCTGTGTGTCTGTGTGTCTGTGTGTCTGTGTGTCTGTGTGTCTGTGTGTCTGTGTGTCTGTGTGTCTGTGTGTCTGTGTGTCTGTGTGTCTGTGTGTCTGTGTGTCTGTGTGTCTGTGTGTCTGTGTGTCTGTGTGTCTGTGTGTCTGTGTGTGTCTGTGTGTCTGTGTGTCTGTGTGTCTGTGTGTCTGTGTGTGTCTGTGTGTCTGTGTGTGTCTGTGTGTGTCTGTGTGTGTCTGTGTGTCTGTGTGTCTGTGTGTGTCTGTGTGTCTGTGTGTCTGTGTGTCTGTGTGTCTGTGTGTCTGTGTGTCTGTGTGTCTGTGTGTCTGTGTGTCTGTGTGTCTGTGTGTCTGTGTGTCTGTGTGTCTGTGTGTGTGTGCGTGTTCTTTTTTGATGGTATCCTTTGTTTGCTTGTTTTTAAAGCGAAGCCAAAAGGAAAACAGATGCCAATTTGGTGTGTCTTTTGTTTGTTGAATCGGACACCCCGTCAAACTGGCTCGGCTTCCCTTTTGAATTCCCCTTAAAACCAACTAAAGGAGGGTTCCTTTCCCAGTGGATCCTGCTTGGTAACTATAACCAACAGGTTTTCTGGGGTTTTTCAAGGGTGGCAAGCCCTTGGTCACCAACCAAGGGAAATCACTGGGTTGAAAAACCAACCTTGAGGTTTCCTCGGGACTCACAATGTCGTGGGGAGTCGACCGATTTAGCCCAACTTCCTCACCTGGGAAACCGGGCTTCCTCCCAATCAGACGACTATGAAAATGAGCAACTCGTTTGCTTACCCCTCCCAAACAAAAGCAAGAGTCAGGGGGACAACCCGACTTGCCCATGCCCTTCCTGGGAGCAAATCATATTATCCGTGGGTCATATGGCATGCCCAAAGTAGCGACCCTGTTTGGAGTTCGTGCCCGCATTTGAGGAGGGTTGAACAAGGGGCACCATACTTTGACAGCTTGACGGCACGACGTGCCCCCTTTGGCTTCAAGCGTTTTGCGGCAAAAAACGAAATCGAAACTAAGCCTATGGGCCACGGCTGATTCCGAGAATGTGCCTCAGGACATTTGCTTTTGGCGAGCTTCAGTGACGTTCTTATGCTTCGGTGCCATGTCATTCCCCACAGCAGCGGCAGATAGGAACATTGACCATTGCTCGTGTGGAAACTGGGAACCGCAACAACTTGCTCATTGAGCCGACAAACTTCATTTTCATCTCCAGGGACAGCCAGCAAGCGTCACTGCCAGGAATATGCGGAAAAAAAAAAGAACATGTCCCACCAAAACCAAGAGGACAACCCAGCAAACCCAAGTGTCTCATTCGCATCTTGGGTGACAGCCAGCAACAAGAACCCACCGAAAGCCAGCCAAACCTCAGGGACAGCCAGCAAGTGTCGCAACCGCCAGGAATCTGGGACAGCCCGAATGTCCCGGGCTGTCCCAGCAAAACCGCCAAAGAATCCCGGCAAAAGCCAGCCAAGACCAAGAGGAAGACCCGAGCGCCCCATCATTTTGGTCCGTCGCGGTCCGAGGCCCGGATCTTTCTTGGCAGTTTCTGGCTGCGGCTCTCTGGGGTCTCCGCTGCCGGCCTTGGATGCTGTCTCCTTGGGCCTGGGCCTCGCTCGAAAATGGCCCGGAGGATAGGAGTGCCTTTTGTTTGGCCGCGGTTTCTCTTTGCTTGTTTGTTTTCTTGGATATATGTGTTAGTCTCTTGTTTGTTTTGGTCTTGTCGCCTATTTTCGCCAATTTTCTCCATTTCCAATGTTAGTCTTGGCGTTGGATGTCATAGGATTGAACGTTGTGCCAGACGTAGCTCACTTTTTGAGCTTTTGCCCAATCCGATTGAGCTGGGTGCCACATACATAGCAACCTTAGCAGGGAACACCCTGAAGCGTGGTTGGTTTTGCCTGTGACCCTTTGGAGGACGTCATTTGGGGATTTATGTTCACTGAGGAGCTTCCCAATTCGTAGCCTCACCTTTTTCGTTGTTTTTCTTTTGGCCGTTTTGGGCTTTCCTTCAACCAGAAACATTTTGGGGGCCGGATGTGTATGAATTTTAGTTGGGGACCTGCTGGTGGACATGAATTGACATCATTCATCATTTTACATGAGGGGCATATGTCCACCAACCATTTTTGAGGGTGTTTCCCATGGAGATGAATACCCACGCAGCTCGAGAAACATGTACCTATCCCCACCAACAAGCAGCCTGCTGTTTGGAAAGCCCACCTGTTGGTCATTGATCTAACTTTCCATCAATGTGAATGGGCGAAGCCTCAATAGATTCGAATTTCCTTAAAGGGAACCGCACACGAGATGGATAGATCTTCCGCTACATCCAACCGCAGAGTGTGTAAAAGTAGCATATTTTCCCTGAGACCCCATCTAAAAGGTGTTCTAGGTCCTCCAAAGAGGTTTTTTCAAAAGTTGGTAGCCTTGGTTCTGCCTATTCTAGTAGGGGAACCCTCCCCCCAAAAAAGAAGCGGTAAAAGTTGGCACTACTGGACCTAGTGCTGTAGGGAGACGCGGGAGGCCTGCAAATCCTGAATTGGCCCAGTGGCTTTCAAGGGATCAGACGTGTTTTTTCTTTTCGGGGGCCAAAAAAAGAACCGAAGGCTGAAGCATCCCAAGCCAGGAGCCCACGAAGAAGTCTCGGTGTTTATATATATAGATATGGATATCATCCTTCTTTGCAACCAACAAAGTGTGCATATATATATGTATATATATATATACACACGCTCAGGACGGATGGTTCGCCGTCGGTCCAACAGCACCTTCTATTTTGAGACCTCCAGCCAGTGGCAGCTGTCTACATGGAAAGCTTGGCACAGGCAAGGCAACGCGGGCAACAGAAAAGACTGCAAGACTGGGTGCGCAGCCAGAAAGCCTGGACGTCTTATCAATCGCAACAAGATCAGAAACGACAAAGATGCGGCCTCCTGCACTGTTATGAGCCT